GATCTGGAAATGGATGGGCTTTCCTCTGAGGTATCTTGCCATTGGTAGGCATCCCTGAAATTGAGAAATCCATTGGAAATCTCTCAGCCACCATGGAACAAATAAGTAAAGATGTTGATGGGATGGCAGCTCAGCAAAAATCTTTGAATTCCCTTGCCAAAGTATTACTTGATGACCGAATAGCTATTGATTTTTTATTAGCCCAACAAGGGGACATATGTCCTATAGCCGATACCACTTGTTGCACCTGGATTAATAGCTCTGGAAAAGTAGAACAAGATATCAAGCAAATTCACTAGAAAGCCACGTGGTTCCATGTTTCTGATGAGATTGGGGTTTTCTCTTCCTGATATGTTTAGTTGGCTTCCACAGGAATGGGAGTCTAGATTAGATCTATTTTATTCACTCAAATTATGATTTTCATGGTCCTTGTCATAACTGGCATTGTTACATGACACATGAAATTAAACACTCATGTTTTGACCTTGAGAACTAACGTGATCCCTGTGAAAAAGATAATGTACGTGGAAACCAAGTCAGTGGTGACCTTAATGAAACCCTACTTGAGAGTTTGAAAGAATAAGTCAGCCCTTTGTCCATCTGACCCATTGTGCCTGACACTGTCACCTCTTTCCTTTCGTCTTTTGAGGCTCACCAGTGTCTTCCTCTAAAGCATGATGAATCTAGGGGAAACCTTGCAGAAGATGGGTTTCTCCTTTGTGGGCGACTGAGATCAGCTCACCCTGAAGAGGGGAACTTCACTATGCCAAGGTAAAAACACTCAGTAGTGCCCGGTCACAATTGTGGTGTAGTGTCTGAGGTCTTAAATGCTTAATAATTCAAACAGCCATTAATCAATAGTAGCAAGCGTGTCCATGTGAGAAAGACTACTTGACTCGTCAGTGATCAAAACCAACCCAGTTGCCATCAAGTCAATTCCAACCCCTAGCAACCCTATAGGACAGGGTAGAACTGCTCCATATTGTTTGCAAGGAGTGGCTGGTAGATTTGAACTGGTGACTGTTTGGTTATCAGCCAAATGCTTAAAACGAGGGAACTGTCTCAGGAAAAGAAAACTTTCAGTGCAGTCAGTGAGACAGAGGCATGATATGCTGACCATGCTGTCTAATTTTAATCTGGATTTCTAGACTAACAGCTATGGTTTTGGGAAAAACATGTTTTGCCTCAGTGGTCAAAACCAGGATGTGAAATCATATGCTCCAAGGCGTCTTGACTAAGTGACCATCTGCACCCTTCAAAATACGCATATTCAGGATGAGTGCTGAGTGCTGAGTGCTGTTGCCAGCTGGGTATTTTTGCAAGATAGACAAACTACATGTAAGCATCCTGCGATCATTAGCTAAGCATCTTGTGAGACTATATGTAATCTCTAGTTTAAGCCATGAATAATTAAAAACCGATCAGTGTCTTACAGCTATAGCCTCTAAATCAATAAGCTACCCTTACCCCACAGGTAAGGGATCCCATCTCCCACTTCCCAATTGGAGATGCACCAGTCATGAATAACCTGTGGCTGATGCTTGCTGCAGTAGTAAAACTATCCCCGATTCAGACCGCCCTCTTAGGACATCACTGTCTCATCTCAATGAGCTGTGCGGGTCCCACTTCTAAGTGTAATCTTTTCTTGGAGTAAACCTCTTTGATTTTATCTCAAACAGACTTGGTTTTATGTAATGTGGTGACAGTCTTCCAACAAGAAAGAATGTATGTGCCAGGAACTGACTGCCAGTCAGGATAACTTGAGCACAGCAAATACAAAGGACTGGTCAGGGTGAGGAACAATGGTGGTAGTGCAGGTGGGAAAAGTGGGCCAGCTTGAGGTGCACTTTGGAGCTTGAGCTGCCAAGAATTGCTGGTGGATCAGACATATGAGGGGAATGGAGAATCAAATGTGACTTCTAGAATTCATGCGACGGTGAGAGCATGATCACCAGAACCCTTCTCTAGCATGTGGAAAACCACGGAGAAAGAAGCTTGAAAAAATTACCAAAAGATTCTGTCATGGATTGAATTATGTCCCCCCAAAAATGTGTGTATCAATTTGGCTGGGCCATGATCCCCAGTATTGTGTGGTTGTCCTCCATTTTCTGATTGTAATTTTATATTAAAGAGGATTAAGGTGGGATTGTAACACCACCCTTACCTGTCACACTGCTGATCCAATGTAAAAGGAGTTTCCCTGGGGTGTGGCCTGCACCACCTTTATCTCTCAAGAGATAAAAGGAAAGGAAAGCAAGCAGAAACTGGGGATCTCATACCACCAAAAAAGAAGCACCAGGAGCAGAGAGCGTCCTTTGGACCTGAGGTTCCTGCACAGAGAAGCTCCTAGTCTGGGGGAAGACTGATGATGACGAGGACCTTCCTCCAGAGCCGACAGAGAGAGAAAGCCTTCCCGTGGAGCTGACGCCCTGAATTTGGATGACTTCCAGCCTACTACACTGTGAGAAGATAAATTTCTCTTTGTGAAAGCCATCCACTCGTGGTATTTCTGTTAGAGCGGCACTAGATGACCAAGATAGATTTCTTCTGGACATGTTAGATTTAGATGTTTGGAGTCATCCAAGTGTGAGGAAGTTGTGGATAAAACTTTGAAGTACAGCAGGTTTTTGGGTTCTAAGAATTTGGAGATCATCAGCCTATAGTGGATTGGAAAGTCACTATAAGCTCAATAAGAACTCCTAGGGATACGTTATACTCACTATAGAAAAATTTCCAGTTGTATAAGGTGTCCTAGTGGAGTCACTGGACCAACACTCCAATCTGATATTTAAACAAACATTTTATTAAAGGAATGAATCCGCGGGAGAGAATGCATTCAGATCAAGTCTAACAGTATGCTCGGCCTTGCAGACAGAACAACGAGATATTTAACAAGCGCGTAGAGACAACTGTCTCACATCAAAGCAATTGAAAGGGGGAGGAAAGACTTACAAGGAGGCAATTAACTGCAAACCACCTTCACATCGGTTTCTAGTTTCACACAGATCTCTCATTCTTGATATAATTTAACTAAGGCAATATTTCTAAAATGAAAGTAAACAATTTCGACATGAAAGGTTAGCAATATGTTTGCAGCTGGGCCAACTTAACTGGAATCTTTGGATACAGAACCGACCGTTAGGAAAGTACAAAGATTAGATCCATCTCAAATCTAAGTCTTCTGAAATGCAAACTGCTTATTTAGCTGAGAGAAAAAGGGATAAAGTCTATGTGTCTGCTGAGGAAATTCTTTGAACGTAGTTGAAACAACATGTTCATCTATAGGCTCTAATTGATCAACTCAGTGAGGCTTTTTCTAAGGCAAGCTGCTGGAACACTATTAACATAATAAGTACTGAGCTTTGTCTTGCAAACGGTAAACTTTAACAGAAACCTAACGTTTATCAGGAATGTAGAAGTGAGATTTCAGTGAAATTTAGAATGGAGTGCCTAATTTTAGTTCTGAAATCTCCCCAACTACACCTATCAGTGCGTCAAAATTTTCCTCACACAAAGGAGAATCAAGGAACTGTTTACCATATTTACTAATCTGTAGTGATTTACAAGATATATTAAGTGAAAAAAGTCAGAATCAGAGCTTCTAATCTCTGACTCATCTCTGTTCACTACATGTCGAGGCACATCGCAGCCACTTACTTGGTTGAGGTGTGAATTATCTCCCCTTCGTGAATTGTACTTAAAGAAAAAGGACCATTTCTTTACTTCCTCTATGAATACCTGGCTTATAGAGTTTGGTCCAATTTGGTAAACATGTTATGACACTACTATTTCTATCTCATTCCCAGACCCATTGCCCTGCTGGCCCAAGTGGTTCCCAGGCACCTCAGTGCACTAAGAAAAGTTTTCCAGAGGTTCAGGCGATCGCCAGGCTGCCAAGTGAACTTAGAAAAAGTCTCTGGCAGATGTGGCAGGCCATGGACACCCTCCCCAATGCAGACAAGTTCAGCCTCCACATGGGGACTTGGAACATCTCCAGAGCCTCATGCAAGGAACAGGAGGAACCCAGTGGGAATGCAGGAAAAAGCCTGGGTTCCAGGTGTGTGTAGGTGTGCATGGGACCCCTGTCATTATCTCCAGTTCTCTGTGAATTAAGAAAATTTATTCAATGGCATCACCACCACCACCACCACCACAACTACTACTAATAATGATAACAGTGACCCACCCCTTGGACATTCCCTGCAGGCCGTAGCTGGTCTGGGCTGTCAGAAGGGGACTTGGAAAATTTTCTGGAGGCTCAACCAAAGACCACTCCATGAAGCATCTCGTAATAGTATGGGGTGTAGGATATTGATATATCAATTGATCAGGGCACACCCAAGTCATGACCTGCTGTCCAGGGATTAAAGGTCTCTGTACCGTCACATGGAAATATGTCCAGGATATATAATTAAGTGAAAAAGGAGAGTTCAAAGCATTAAAAGTTTAATTCAATGGAATTGAACATTTTTACTGCAAACACAATGGCTTCAAACCTTCTGGGGCCATCACCAGAAGGTGATGGTTCGCCTCTTAGCTTTTAAGGGGGAAGCCCTCACGAACACAGAAATGTCAAAATGCTGCCAACAACAAAGAGAACTAGGTGGAGGAGTTTTACCTTATGCCACGGGACGGGTGGGAAGATGGCTAGCACTAGAACATTCTTCTCTCTCTAGGAAGGCCTGAACTGCACAGAACTTGACCCAGGACCTGGAATCTCTGCTTTATCACTGCCTGAGTGGGAACAAAACTCTCCTTTGACTTCTTATCTCATGAACATTTTCAAATACTGCCTCCAATATCAAACTATTTAAACATTAGCCGCGGGCAAGAAGTCCTCAATGTTTCTCAAGGGAGAGCCCCCACCCCCACTTGCCACCAAGGAACTCTGGGAATTCCTTCTTGTATTAGGGGATAAAGCTCTACAACTTGTAGTCATGAACAGCCAGACAATCCATGTCTACTCCTCCTGGGGTGCTGGCGATCTCCCAAGAAGCACCTCAGCCCAAGCTTCCCCCTGAAAACTCAAACAGCATCTGTGCTCCCCAGACGGTATCACTGGTGGCCTGACCATCAGGCAACTGCCCCTGGAAAATGAAACACAACATTAAACACTCCGTCATCAGGCTTCAGGGCTCTGCCTTTCCCACCCTGAGAATTTTCTGACCCTGCATGGACACCACTCCCTTCCGGGGCCCCAGGCTCAGGAGTAGTAAACATCTCCACATGGCACTCCATATCCACCTCCCCTCACAGCTCCCATTTTGCCAACTTCCAACCACAAGCCCGCTCTTCCACCTCTCTCATCTTTGCCTGGCTGATTCACTCCAAAGGCATTAGCTGAGCCTGTCCTCTGTGCCATGCACTGGGGATACAGGAGACAGCAGGCGAACAAAGGTGCCTGTAGGAAGGCCTCACCTGGCTGGAGGGCTGGGGCTGGCTCAGCTCCACGGCGGACACAGGATGGGGGAAGGAGGACATGGCTTGCTCTGGCTCTTGGGGGCTGGAAAAGGGGGACTAGGTGTCAGGACAGGCTCTGTCTCAAGTGCCCGGGAATGCTAAGGAATAATAGCTGCTCATTTGGCAACACACTGAGCGCTTTCTACATATCAGGAACCATTCTAGTCATTTGACATTCATCAAGAACAAAACTTCCTGTGCTCAGTCACTCCTTTTTGGTGGAGAGAGGCAGACAATGGTATGGAAGATGTTAGGAGGGGACAAGTGGTATAACATAGAGCAGAGTGGGCTCCCACAGACAATTTTAGACAGGATTTCAGCACAGGCCTCCTTTGAGCAGAAATGTCAGGGCAGGGGCGATCCTGAGGAAGGAGTAGGCCTGGGATGTGAAAGAAGACGAGAAGCCAAAGTCACAACCAGATCAGGGTGAGGATGAGGGAAAACAGGCAACGGAACAATGGTAACCACTCTGAACAACAGTTGGCGGTTTCTTTTAAAGCTAAACATACATAATAATCAGTTGGGTTTCAATACACCAACAATGAACATTCTGAAAAGGAAATTAAGACAATCCCATTTACGACAGCATCTGAAAGAACAAAATACTAGAAATAAATGTAACCGGGGATGTAAAAGACTTTTATAATCAAAATTGTAAAACACTGCTGGAAAGAGATTAAAAGCAGTTCGAATCCACCAGCTATTCCTTGGAAACCCCATGGGGAAGTTCTACTCTGTCCTACAGGGTAGCTATGAGTCAGAATCGATTAGAAGGCAGCAGGTTTGGTTTTGGTTTTTGGAAGTAAACGGAAATTCATGGACTGGAAAACTTAATTAATATTGTTAAGATGTCAACATTACCCAAAGCAATCTACAGATTCAATGTAATCATGGTGTAAATTACATAAGCTTTCTTTGCAGAAATGAAAAACAAAAAGTCCTCAGATTTACATGGAATTGCCGGGGCCCTGAACAACCAAAGCAGTCTCAAAGAAGAAGGATGAAGCAGGAAGACTCACACTTCCTGATTCCAAAACATACTATTAAAGCCCTAGGAATCAAAATAGTCTGCTACTGCTATAATAATAGACACACACACCAATGGAATAGAATTGAGAGTCCAGAAATAAACCCATACATGTATGGTCAACTGATTTTTGACAAGGGTGCTAAATCCATGCCGTGGGGAAAGAATAGTTTCTTTAATAAATGGTGCTGGGACAACTGGATTTCCACATACAAAAGAATAAAGCTGGACTCATATCTCACAGCATACATGAAAATTAACTCTAAAAAGATCAAGGACCACAAACCATAAAACTCCCAGAATACATAGGGGTATTGCTTCAGGACCTATTTTTTAACACTGGATTCTTAAACATGACACCAAAAACATTAGACATGAAGCAAAATAAATAACTTGGACTCCATCCAAATCCAAAACTTTTGTTCAACAAAGGACTTTAACAAGAAAGTGAAGAGACAACCTATAAACTGGGGAAAATTTTCAGGAACCACATATTGAATGAGGGTTTAATATCCTGAACATACTGTATAAAGAACTCCTACAACTTAACAACAAAAAGACAAACCACCCAGTCAAAGAATGGATAAAGAATTTGAGTAGATAAAGGGCAAAGGATTTCACCAAAGAAGAAATACAAATGGCCAACAAGCACATGAAAGATGCTCAACATCATTAGCCATTACCCGTTGCCACTGATTCAATTTCAACTCAAGATGACCCACGAGTTACAGAGTAGACTGTGCTCCATAGGGTTTTCGAGGCTGTGACCTTTCAGAAACAAATCGCTAGGCCTTTTTTCCAAGATGTCTCTGGGTGGGTTTGAATTGCTAACCTTTCAGTTAGTACTTGAGCACTTAATCATTTGTGACACTCAGGGACTCTATTAGCGATTAAATGAAAAAAACCAAACCCATTGCTGTTGAGTCGATTCCAGCTCAAAGCAGCAGTATAGGACAGAGTAGAACTGCCCCATAGGGTTTCCAAGGAATGCATGGTGGATTCAAACTGCCGTCCTTTTGGTTAGCAGCTGAACTCTTCAACCACTGCTCAACCAAGGCTATTAGGGGGATGCAAATCAAAACCACTTCCCACACCACTAGGCTGGCTAAGATTGAAAAAATAAAAAAGAAACAAACAAACAAAACCCCAGAAAACAAGTGTTGACAAGTATGTGGAAAAACTGGAACCCTTCTCCACTGCTGGTGGGTATGCAAAATGGTATAGCGGCTATAGAAAACAGGTGGCTGCTCCTCAAAAAGTTGAACACGGAACTACCATATGACCCAGAAATTCCACTCCTGGATATATTCCTACCCCTTGAGTCTCGGTTACTTTCCCTCCATTTCCAACAGTCTACAGCATTCACTGCATCGACAGCAAATTCTCTCCCAGGCTGTTCCAGGCCCTTCCAAGCCCCTTTAAAACTACAGTTTGGAATATAGAATCAGGATCTTGCCGCTATTCAGAAACCACAATAGACCTTCGTCTGGGGAAAAGAAAGTACCGGGAAGGCTGCTGGGACCTAGGGTGACCTTGGCGAAGAAGTGAGCCCTGAGCTTTGCCCAGTCAAGGAACATCAGAAACACTGGCCAGAGGACGGTGCCCAGGTCCGCTCTGACGTTTCTGAGCGTTCTTCTCTTTGAGGGAAAACCACCCTCTTTTGGTGGAAGCAGCCTGGGAGGATTGCTCTCATTTTTAGAAAACCCTAAAGAAAGATCTAATCTTCACAGTCTGAGGTGGGTGATTCAACAAGTCAGGCACTAGTCTTGTGGGACCCTCATTCCACTACTTTGTGGCCCATGGAAAGCGTCGCCCAAGCCTTGGGGCTCTGCAGGGCCTACCTTTGGGGAAAGATGAATTCCGCAGACAGCAGGGGGGGCTGTAGCTCCATGTGTCCACTGCTCGTACCTGGACCTTCCTCCAGATACTTGCTCTGGGGGGTCCCGCTGGGCATGTCAGTGAACCCTGTAGGAAAGAAATTCCACAACTCACTTCCAGGAGGAAGGAGCAGGGCCCATGTTAGACAGGAGGCAACATGTGCCCTGCCGGTCACAAGCTGCATGAGCCAGGCTCTTTGTCTGCTTGGGCCTCAGTGTCTCTCTCTGAGAAAGAAATGGACACAACCAGTGATCTCCACGGCCTTTCCCAACTCTGTCATTCTTTGCTTCAGCAGACCAAAACAAGGGTGAATGTTGCAGACTTCACATTCTGCTTTGTCACAGGTATGACCTCCTACCAGACCCCAGTCCCAGTGATCACACATGGGACTCTGCCACAATCTCCTTCCTGCTACTCTGTGAGGAATGTGCAGTCCATACAATCATCGTTTTCTTTCCTAGTTGGTGCATCAAAAGGCTGAGTCCCAGCCCTTTTCCCTTTTCGCTGACCTTTTACCTTGGGTTTTACTAAGATTTCCCTTACATGTAAGGTGTCACCACCTTATCTTGCCCTTTTGACTTTTTCTCTACTTAAAACATTGCAGAGGATATCTCAAAATATCTTTCACCCCTACAGACAAGCTACCATGGATTTGACCAGAGCTGGGTCAACAGAAGCTTAGGAGAGAAGGTGAGAATCTATGTCCATTTCCTCCCTGAGTCTGCTAGGTTGTAAAACTAGTAGAAGGTGCTCCTGATCTCAGTCACAGAACAACAGGTCGGCTGAACTCTGTCCATGTTCACCACCAGAGTGACCTCCTGAACCCTGGGGGCCCCCTGTCCAGGACCTTCTTGGACAGATGGGACCTTCATAACTATTTGGTATATGAGGGTATCTTTGCTTTCCTCTTATTTTCTCTTCCCTGGAGAACCCTGAAGACGTTCTCGGGTAGAGGAAGTAAGGTTTAAGTGCTAACTTGACAATCCCAAAACAAAACAAACTTGTTGCAGTCAAGTTGACTCCAATTCACAGCGACTCCGTAGGACAGAATATAACTGTCCCACAGGGATTCCAAGGAGGAGTTGGTGGATTCAAACTCCTGACCTTTTGGTTAGCAGCTGAATGCTTAACCACTGTACCACCAGGGCTCCCTTACCACACTGCTGTACCTCAAACAAGGTTAGGTCAGGGCCAGCGTCAGGTGCAGAAACCACTGGCTCTATCCTGAGCAGACTCACCTGTCATGGCAGCGTCTGACCAGGGCATCCTGAAGCCCAGATCCTGGCTGTGGACCAGCTGCCCAGGCTGGAAAGAGGCTTCCCTGGAGGACGCCAGTGCAAGTGACATCAGCCACGACCCTGGGGCAGCCAGGGACAGGTCCACCACGTTGCTGCCAGCAGCCAGAGGGCAGAGGCCAGGGCCAGGGCAGACGGGGGTGAAGGTGGCAGGGTCTTGGCCAGGCCCCTCCTGGTGCATCTCACCACCCTGTAGGGACCTGTGGACACAGCAAACACTGTCCCTCAGTGGGCAGAGTCTCCCTCGGCCAGAGGCTGGGAAGAGACTCCAGCAAGTCTGCGAATCTGGGTCACATCTCACCCCAGGCACCGATGGCCATGGGGCCCCAGCACATCACAAATCACACTGTGGTCCATGTTCTCCTCGTGACACATGGTGGATGCAAGGACCAGAGGCTAGGCTCTGACATGCCAGCCCAGGGAGGCACTTAATAAATGCTATCTCTGGAAATCTTCAATATACTAGCAGTTTTATTGACCACGACCTGCAATGAAACGTTGTTCCACAGTATTGAAAATGGAACCTGATGAGCAAGTGTCTAATAGCCCAGTAAATAAAAGATGGCTGATCTTAAGGGAATATCATGCAGTGATGAATAATAATAACTTAAAGAATTCATGTTCCTTGAATGCTCGCAGTGTCTCAGACACAACACAGGGCCTGTTGTTAAATCCACATATTCTTTGCAACAACTCCACACGGCAGGTCTTCTCATCATCCCCATTGAACAGGTGAGAAAACTGAGCACTGAAAGGCCATGAGAACCTGCCCAAGGTCACACACCTGGCTGGTGCTGGCCTGGGTGCCAACCAGGCAGTAGGTGTCAAAATGTTCAGCAGAAAAGGAGGAACAGAGGTGCACGTGGCATCCTGGTTAGGCTGGGACTCAGGCCTGGCCCAGCCCTGTGGGGTTCAGCCCTGAGAGCGCAGCCCCTTCCTTCTTCTCACCCCAGGACTGCCTTGTCACAGGACCATCTCAGGGCTCAAGGAAACAGCTTAGAACAGCACGTAGGAGGGACCCACAAAATGTTGGAGGTTAGTATTTTTTTCTCAATGACATTTTTTAAAAAGACAAAATACTAGAACAGAGCACAGTGACCATGGGGTTGTATTTCAGAGGCAGGCGGGCAAGGTTGTTCCTTCTCTCTGAGGCTGTTTCCCCCACTGTCTGTGCCGGCTCCAGGGAGCACGCTGAGAGTCGGGGATGCTGCTCCAGCTATCCCTGATGTGATCCCTTGCTTGTGCCTCCCCTTGACCCCTAGGACCACGGCTATCTCTGCTCTCAGCTGTCACTGCCCTGGGCCCCAGTGTCAGGCGGCCATGTCTCCTACCCCTGGGGAAGAGGAGGAGGCCGGACAGGCGAGCTGGTCGGGTAGCCGTGGGGTCTCAGTACCTGGGAACCAGTGGCCTTGAGAGCATCTCGTCTCCAGGAAGGTCCAGGGCAGGGGCAAGTGGTGCCCATTGTCCTTGAGTGGCCTCTGGGGACCGTGGAGGCCCCTTTTCCTCATGTCCTGATGAGAGCAGAGCACAGTCAGATGGGGAGGCTTGGTGGAGCCCTGCCTGAGTCCATGGGCTCCTTCCCTCAGGCTCTAGCTGTGCTTCCCAGAAGGTAAGAGTCAACCCCAATGTCCTTTGTCTCTCGGTCCTTCTTTGGTCTGAACCAGCATTCCACAGAACACAGGACAGCCCAAACCCTGGTGCTTTGTTGCCTCCCTGGATTTATTCACCAACCCCCTCCCTCCAGCCACATGATATGTCACCAGCCAACTCCTCCCCTGGCACACAGTAAGCTCTCAGTGCACAATGGTGGCTACAACCCCGTGGTGAGGCCCAGCCCCATAGACGAACCCGAGCCCAGCCTGTGTCCAGCATCAGCCTCAGCAACCTCACTCCCTGACGAAAACTGTCCCACCTACAGCCTGACTGTTAGCTCTCACCATAGGTGAACCCCATCCCTCCTGAGGGGCTGCCCTGCCTGACCAGAGTGACCCTGGACACAGCGGGGAGCAGGGGTCAAGTAGGGGACCAGCATCGCCCCAAACCACAGGAGGCTGGGCCCACGGGCCACTCACCTGACCACTGAGACCTGTCCACACACTGAGGGTCAGCATGGGGGTCCCCTGAGGGATGAGAGGGCTCTGGACCCCTCCCCCAGACACCAGGGCCCTCTGCTGAGGTCCCCTGGGACGACTCTACGCTCTGGAGAAGGGCTCTTTGTTTCCGACGATAGTTGGCAAACCAGTTGTAGACCTGCTCCTCCGACAGGCTCGTCTCTGATGACAGGGTCTCCTGCAGGAGACAACAGAACCCCGGGCCTGCTTTCACGCCAAGGGGCACAGAGGTGGCCCTAACCATCGTCTCCACTGAGAAACGGCCCTGAGTTGGCCCCGATCCCTCCAGGACCCAGGTATGGGTCCCGGCTGAGGAGTATCTCCTGAGCGCTTGCTCTGGCCAGTGGCTGGGGGATGCAGCCCCTGAGGGAGAACAGATTATGTCCTCCCATGGTAGCCACATGGTGAGGGTGGGGCCCCTTTGAGAAGCCAGCCCCACACTGCAGGGCCTGCCTTGTGCGCCAGCAAGACCCTCCGTCACAGGCAAGCTCAAGGGGAGCCCAGTCCACCCTCACCCTGGCAGGTGGGGGCCACTCAGGATGTCTGAGGGGCTGCAGGTGGGGCCGGCTTCCTCTTACCCGCTGGGCCTTGTCGGGGTTGGTGCTCACGCCTGAGGCGAAGTCCTGCAGCTTCTGTCGAACCTCCCTGGGGAAGTTCCGGCTCCTCAGGCCCTCAGGACAGAGGGAGGGGGGCGGTGGGTTCCTGGACGAGGACAGGAGAAGATGTCAGAACAAGACCCTCAAATTTGCCTCTAACCAGGGCCCTGTCCTCCGAGGAAGTGACTCCCCAGGTGTCTGCCTGGTGGAGCCTCTCTGTCCTCAGTTTGGGGAAGAAGACAAGCTCTTCTCTCCCCACAGTAATGAAGACACAGAAGGCGCTCCCGACTGCGGGGAGCTCAGAGGTTCCCCAGCCCCATGGGCAGGAGCAGGGAAGAGCCAGAGGCTATCTGACCACCCCTCTCCCACAGCGTGGCCCCCCGGACAGCACCCACGCTCCAGGTGTGTCCCCAGGCTGGTGGCGAGTCCCAGCACTCCTGCCTGGTGCTCTCCGACTGCCCCTCTGCCACAGCGTGGCCCCGGGATACCTCAACAGCACCCAGGCTCCAGGTGTGTCCCTGAGGCCCTCCCATATGGCCTCCTGGCCCTTCCGGGACTCCTGGGCCTGTCACCAAAGACTGTCACTGAGACTCTGGTGTGCTGGGTGCTCAGTCTAGGCTCCATTTGGAATGCTGGTTCCCAGCCAGGCCCAACTGGAGGATGATCTGCCTTTATTCCCTCTTCCACCATGAATTTTTCTTCTACTGAAGCATCCCCATTAGAAGATGAACACTCTGCATCTCCCTCCCTCTGCCCGGGCAGCTCCTGTCCAGCTGAGGCCTCCCTCCAGGGCTCACAGCCTGCGCTGACCGCCTGGCCTAGAGCGGCCCTCCCATGGCCCTCATCTGGTGAGGCCTGGGAAGAGGTCAGAAGAGGTGGGTGAGGTCAGGGTGCTCAGCCTCACCTCCCTGCAGCCAGCCTCCATCTGGGTCCTGGAGAGTGCTCCCTCCCACCCTGCAGGCACAGGGATCACATCCCCAACGTGGCCAGCCCTGGTCACCACTCGGGGTAAGCCCGACCCCTCCCAGCCCATCCCAGCGGTGCGTGAATAGCTTAGTCACACCAGCCCACGGTCACCTCTGTGCTCCATCTGACTGGTGCCACCCTATTTCCCCTCTTCTGTGTTGTCTGGACCCCACCTCGATCCCTGGGGCACCCCACAGGGCCTGTGTGAATAAACATACCTCTTCCTGCAGCAGAACTTCTGCACAGGGGTCAGCGTGGCCACGTCCAGCCTCCTCATGGCCAGACGGTAGTGGATGTCGTTCCAGAGCTTCACCAGCTCCAAGCTCCCCCCTGGCACCCGACAACCCTGCCGAGGAGAGCCTGCCTGAGCCGTGGCTGCCTGGGTCTGGGGGCACCTGGGGCCGCCCTCCCGGACCAGCCCGAGCCCTGCACAGGCCGAGGCATCTGTGGAAGAGCAGGGGCCTGGGTTCCTGTCCCACTCTCACTGTTCACCAGGGCACCCTGGAGTCAGATGGCCAGGCTGGAAATCCCTGCCAGCCCCGTGGTGTGACCCTGGGTGGCCAGTCACTCAGGGTGCCAGCCCTCTCACCCGAGACCCTGCAGCCCTCCCAGGGTGCACAGGAAGTGAGCACAGCCACGTTGCTGTGGGACGAGGGGCCCATCTGTGTCGGCAGCCACGCACTGACCCAATCGACACCAGGAGGACCTGCTGCGCTGACCTGGACCTTCCCGATCATGGGCCCACGTCACTGCCTCTCCTGCGAGGCTGTTGCCATTCATGTAACTCGAGTAATCCACACGAGGCCACTCTCTGACTCAATATACTGACCGATGTTCTCAGGGCCTCGATGTAACCAATGTTCTTCTTTCCCCACATCGGAAAAGTCCTGGAATCCTGGCAGGCCTCATGCTGAAGGCCCCACACAGCCGTCTGCAGCACATGAGTTTGCAGGCCAGTCTGCCGTGTCCTCTCCCACCAGGATGCAGTCACTGGCCTCGTGCTGGAGCACCAGGGAACCGTCATGGACACCACAGCCAGCTCAGACTCATCCCTCAGGGCCCAGCTCCCAGAGGTCCCGGACCCTGACTAGGTGTGTGAGCCCTCTCCACGAGCTCTCTACCGCCTCCCCAGTGACAGCTCTAAGGATGTGTTCCCATGTTTGTCACGTCATTCATTTGTACCGAAGGATGTGAAAAGCTCGAGCCCCTGCAAACCCAGGTGCTACGCTGTGTGCCAGTGGTCCCTGGGATGGACAGGACTGGGCAGCCCTCCCTCATGGGGCTTCAGTACAGTGGGGGAAACGTGATCCACAGACACACAAATACATCGGGAAGGGGCTGTGGCGGCTAGCCAGGGGGACACTGGAGAGTAATGGGGACTGCCTTGATGGGGTCGTAGGGAAAGGCTCTAGGCAGTGGTGACACTTGACAAAAGCCTGAAGGGTCAGAGAGCACCATGCACACAAAGAGCCCAGCAGAAGGAAGAGTCCATGCCAAGGTCCTGAGATGGTAAATATCTAGATCGAGGACAGAAAGGAACCCAGCACAGCCACTGCAGAGGAAACCGGGGAGACAAGATGGACGGCAGGCAGGGCGGCCGTGGGGGCCAGAGCTGTGCAGCGGGCGCATGTCACGGTCCCATCTGTAGTTGTAAAAACCCCTCTGGATGCTGCATGAAGAACAGAGTTTAGGGCGCAGGAGAGAGTAGGGGGGAGCAGCCAGGAGGACACTGCCCAGAAAGAACAGGATGAAATCGAGGGGGGTCTGCAGGTAGACTCCACATGAGTTATGCATGGACTGTACTATGAGGTGAAAAACAAACCAAGCCAAATCCACTGCCGTAGCGTCGATTCCAACTAATAGTGACCTTGTGGGTACAGTGGAAGTGCCCCAATAGGGTTTCCAAGAAGCGGCCTGTAGATTCAACTGCCCACAGTCCCTTATTCAAAAGTCTTTGGGCCAGACAGATTTTGGAATTGAAAATTTAGGGACGTGACGGGAGATGTGTGTCATGCACCGCTGCAGGATGATCTGGGGCCACATCCTGTAATCAGACACTCTCCTGTTTATAAAGCAGAACGCACCACAGTCACAGTTCATGGATAAGGAAAGACCATAAATAGCTTCGCACCAACACAGGTCAGGGTTTGCTTCTACATAAGCTCTGGCTCAATCTGCCACCAGATGAGCTTCAAACATACTCTGGGTTTTCAGTTTTGGATGAGGGATCAGAGCACTGGAACTGATTTCCCGTTTGTCCCACTGACAAGAATGTTAACTGTCAAGACATGACATGGTGGGGTTTGACTCTCTCGCTCTTTTCATTAATTGTCTGAGGGCCTGACACAGGGCTGCTGCTCACAACATATCTGATAAAGGAACATTTTTACATCAGATCGCCAGGCTAACTAGAACTGAGTGAATGGAGCTGGGGAAGAGGTTTCCCTGCGGGCTGCGGACTCTGGCTGACTTCTGGGCTCCCCTGCTCTGTGCCCCCCGCAGGCCCGCCCTACCTCCAAGAGCCTGCAGGCTGCCTGGTGCCGCTCCTGCCGGGCCAGGACAAGCGCGCACACCACAACTACATCCTCTCTGTCCAGCAGGTGCAGGCGGAGCGGGCTCCCCAGCACAGCCTCCACCAAGGGCTCCACCTGGGCGAGGTCACCCCGGAAGTCCCGGCACAGCCTTCCCGCAAGGTCCACCAGCTCCGCGGGGGGTGGGCAGGTGTCCCCGCTCTCCTTCAGCAGCGTCAGGAAGCTCTGCATCCCGCCTCGGCCCACGCTGCAACACAGGGGACAGTGGGGACAGAGCTGACCACGTGCTCACAGCATAGTCCTCACAGCAGCCAGGTGGCCTCATTGTCACCTTGTGCCCAGACACTTGGAGGAACATGAGAGTCAATCTGAGAGAGGCAGGGGTGTGTCAGACGCTGCTAGAATTTACTTTCAATCCCAAAAAAGACCTTCATGAGCTCCGTGTGTGCCAGGCACTGTGCTCAGAGCTGTCCCTGACACAGTGCCCTTCACTTCTCAGACACTGGTCATCCCCTGGGGACACGTCCTCTGGCACACAGACCACACAGCCCATTGTTCACCCCTTACCTGGCTCCTCACTGCCTCCTCGCTACTACTACAGTTTCTGCTGACAGCCACGTCCCACTCAACTCCGGCTCTTAGCGTAGGGGATGGGGCTGTGCCAGGCCTCCGGGGTCTCCCCAGCATTTGCCACGTGGACACCAGGGCCTCTTGCACCCTGGGGGCACTGGGCTGACCCAGGGAAGCAGCCTGGGGCCTGGGCAACTCTTATGGATGCTTTCTGCATGTTCTCAAATCACACCTGATTCTATAATATTCTTAAAACACTTATGTGTAGGTCACTATTATTTATGCTTCTATAATGCTTTTTACGCTATTTACGGTGCTTTTGTAATGCTGTTACACACCTATGTATAAGTCATTTATAATATGATGTTAGACAATTTCTGAACTTAGAAATAAAAATACATATATTTTTATAATGTGATTCAGCCATTAATTGTAAGTCATTAAAAAGCTGTTCTACCATTGAAAACAGATAATAGAAATATGTGAAGCTGGTTGTAAATAACATCCCTAAATTGGGCTGTGCACCTGTACTTTGTGATAAAGGAACGTAACATCAATAAAATCTCTATAAATTAACAAAACAGAAATATATCACTAAACAATCACCACAATTTTTAAGTAATTAACTTGGCCTTGAAACGTTGTGTGGTAAATAAGAATGTAAATATGTCATGCCCTAATTGGCAATAATTCAAATATCTATAAATTAGCAAAATATAAATATGTCAGACTACACAGCCCTTAACTGACAATAAAACATACTGATTATAATTGAACATGACAGCACACAGAGTATATAAACCCATGGATTTCTGCTCATATTCAGAGAAGACAGAAGCAAAGGTCTCTCTGACTGTCTGAAGACTAAAGCCAGCTGAGACACTGCTCACCACAGCCGACCTCATACCCTAGCTACAGGGGACCTCCTCTGAGTTGGAGGGTGGTCGGGTCTCCTCCCGGAGACACCTTAACATTTAAGCTAACATGGCGGATTCTGGCTCTCCAATGCTGAATGAATGCCTTGAGGTCTTACTTGTGTGCCTGGCCCTGACTACCTTGCAATGAACTAAATGAGTGTGTGCATGACAGATGAACATTTCTTTATGTCTCCTTCAGACAAAACCCTCCAGGACACCAACTAAAGCAGCAAGACTAGCTCCATCTGGTTTTCACGATTTCGTTTTGAAAACAAGTCTTATCTGAAAAGTGAAAAACACAAAGAAGTGGAAGTTGCCCTAACCCCACCAGCTTCACAAGAAATGAAATCTGTCCTCCACATCGACCGTGTGCAGAGATGTCCCGTCAGGTCTGCACCCTTCTGCTCACTAAGAGACCCCCCCGTTTACAGGAGGACATCAGGCTGAAGAGTGTTGGCGTTACTCACAATATTCCCTGGAAGGTGTCCCCAGCAGGCTGGCCCGAGAGCCCAAGCACCGACCCTGCTGCACCCCAAAATCCCTCTGTGCTACCCGGGGGGGCAACCAGGGCTTGCCATCACGGACACTCTGCCAGCACACCCCAAATTCAGCCAGTAGGGCTCACAAACTTTCTGAATTCTTGAAATGTATGCAAATCTAAATCTATGTACATACACCCACTTTCAAAGCAAACAGAGACTGATTGCTCAGGCCGGTGCTTCACCTGACCAACGTCACAGACGTGTCCTGGCCTGTGGCTGCCCTGCTCAGCTTCCCGGGACGCCGGGGCCATAGCGTCGGTCAGGGACGGCCAGGCTGCATCTTCGTCGTGCTTTTCCACGTATATGTCCTCTTATTTCTATAGAACAGACTCTAGAAGCGAGGTTCGCAGGTAGCGGAACCCGGACCCCCACACTGTTAACAGACGGAGAAGCTGCCTTCCACAAGGTGTGGGATGCCCGCGCGGCTCCGCAGGCTCCCAGGTCCCTCCAGCAGAGGGGACCCGCTCAGGCACATGCGATGCCTCTACCTGACGACCAGACGTGATGGAGACCCCTTCCCAGGTGGGTGGAAGGTGCTGGCCGTGTTCAAATCACAGTTGCACCCTGGATATCGGACACTTTGGGGTCCCCTGGCATTGAGTTGGCCTCAGTCTTTCAGGGCCTGCACATTTGAGGGCGAATAGAGGCAAAGAGGAGCCCTGGTGGCAGAGTGGTTAAGAGCTCGGCTGCTAACCGAAAGGTCGGTAGTTTGAATCCACCAGCCGCTCCCTGGAAACCCTATGGGGCTCTACTCTGTCCTGTAGGGTTGCTATGAGTCGGAATCGACTCATGGCAACGCGTTTGTTTGTTTTAATGGGCAAAGAAAGGGGGAAAGGGGCCCTGAAAACAGGTTGCAAGTCCGCGGGAGTTCCCCCACCCGAGGCATCGCCATCCCTCACCTTTAGGAGAAAGCTGTCCTGGAAGCCAGGTCACCCCACTTAGGTGCGCAGCGTGTCTACACCCGGCGCTGGAAGTTGGCGAGGCGCGGCCCCCCACTCTGCCCCGCCCAGGGCGGTGCATGTGCTCCGGCCCCAGCCCCGGAGGAGGCGCCTTAGTGGCGCCCGCCCGGCCACGTCTTGCTACAAAGTGTCTGCAGACGCGATCCAGTCTGAACGCTGGGGGCTCCAGCCCCATGACCCAGCCTGTAGGTAGGGCACCGTGCTTCAAAGTTTGCAGAGCCCTCTGCCCAGGCTGAGTCCCCACCGGGGGTCCCTTGGGCCTCTGAGACCGCGGCCCAGGCTCCCGAATCCTCAAGACCCTGAAAGGGGCGCCCTGAAAAGGTACAGAACCAAACACAGCCTGTCCAGGGGTGGGGGCGCCATGACCTCCCCTCAGAAGCATGACCTCTGACTGACCCCACCTGCCCGCTGGGCTGAGACAAGGTCTGGCTGGATTGTAGCTCCGTGGGGGTCACGCTTGGCGGTCCGGGGAGTGATGGTCTGGTGCTGAGCCGGAGCCCTGGGAGGAAATACACCTAAGAGGGACCCTGCGGGCGACCCTGACCCCAGGCCGACCCTGCGTCACTCTGGGAGTGGGCATCCAGGGTCTTGATGACCCAGGTTAAGTAAGTGTGGGGTAATCTCTAAACTGCCCGAATCCTGGCCTAGGACACATTCCCGTGAGCACACGCCAGCCTTCCCCTTGGTGGGTTTACCTTGCATGGCACAAATCAAACCCTAAGTTGTCATATACGGTAAGCAAGAAAGAAATTCTAGAAGTAGAAATGGAGAAGACTTTGAAGTTGGCTTTTAAATGATGGACAAGGTCTAGTTGGAAAGAAAAAAATTCTATGACTTCATAGCTTATGCATAAGATTATGCAAAAGAGGTAGAAAGGGCAACATTTCAGCTTTTTCTCAAATGAAAATCTGGAAACAATTGTAGCGCTAGTAGGAATTTGCTAAATAAACCACGGTTCTTACAGAGGATGGGCTACTGAGAGGTTATTAATAATTATATTGAGGACAATACTTACTGACCTGGGGGACCTATATCACAATACATTGTACAACAAAAAATGTCATGTTACAAGACAATTTAAAAGACCTGAGCCCACTTGGAGCGCAGAGAGAGAATTATTGACCACACATTGTTTTTGACCCCAATCCTGGTTGCACCTAGTATGATAAAATAATTAATTAATTTCATTATTTTTTATCGGGCATTTTAATTTTCTTCTTTTTCCTTATCTTAGTTTCTAATTATTATAAAGTGATGATTTTCTGGTTTTCTATTTTTAGGAAGTAGAAAGACAACATAAGCCCACTCCCAGGGTGATGCAGGGTCAGCCTGGGGTCAGGGTCACCCGCAGGGTCCCACTTAGGTGTCGCTTTTCCCACGGTTCGGGCTCAGCACCAGACCATCACTCCCCGGAACCCCAAGCGTGAGCCTCACGGAGCTACAATCCAGCCAGACCCTGCCTCAGCCCAGTGGGCAGGATGGGATCAGTCAGAGGTCGCGCTTCTGAGGGGAGGTCATGGTACCCCCACCCATGGACAGGCTGTGTTTAGTTCAACAGAGGTAGATGATGTGATGGTTAAGATTGTGTGTCAATATGGCTGGGTCATGATTCTCAGTGCTTTGGCAGTTGTATAATGTGATCACTTCCCTGTTGAAATTTGATACGTGATCACCTCCATGTTGCGATCTTCTGTGAGGAGCCAATCAGTTGAAGGGGAGTTTTCTTGGGCGTGTGGCCTGCATAGAGTGTGGGCAGATGTTCAGGCAGGGATCACAGGGCTCTTGCTCATTCTGGGTCCTGCAGCTGTCTCCTGTTCATCTGACCTCCAGGTCTTGGGACTTGAGCTTGCAGATTTTCTGCAGTCTTGCCTGCTAATCTTGGGTTTCATGGATCTTCACAGTCTGTGAACAACAGCCCTACACTCTGGTCTACCAATCTTGGGATCGCCAGCCCCTGCAGCTACGTGAATTAGGAAAAGCCTCTTTCCTGACTTATGCACTTGGGATGTTCCAGCCTCTACAACTGTGTGAGCTGTTTCCTTGATATAAATCTGTCTCTCTCTATATACATATATATATGCTTTACTGGTTTTACTTCTCTAGAGAACCCAGCCTAAGACAAGTGACACTATCGAGATCAAATACACTGAGGCCGGAGCTACTGGGACAAGGGAGGAGAACAGATGGGAAGTTAGACGTTCTCAGTCTGCATGTGAGCATCTCTTTTGCTGCAGCAAAATCTC